TCATCATCTTCAAAGCGCTCCATGGCATCGGACCTGGATATCTCCGAGACCGCCTTCTGCCGCAGATTACCTCCCATCGGCCGGTACGCTCCCACAGAGTGGGCCTCCTCAGGGTGCCGTCAGCCAGACAGTGCCGGCTGGCGACCTCCAGGGGGAGGGCCTTCTCGGTGGGAGCCCCCACCCTCTGGAACGAACTACCTCCAGAGATCCGGGTGATCCCGGATCTCCCCTCCTTCCGCCGCGCCCTAAAGACATGGCTCTTCCAACAAGCAGGGTTGGCCTAGGGAATTTTAGTGGGGTTTTTTAATGAGAAATTTTAATTATATAGGCCATAACAAATATTTCTTTTTAATTCGGTTTTAAATTAGGTATTTATTGTAGTATTGGTTTTATAAGGCTGTTAGCCGCCCTGAGTCCGGTAAGGAGAAGGGCGGGATATAAATTGAATTAATAAATAAATAAATAAATTAAAAAAAGAGTTATGGGTTTGATTTTGTGAAAAACGTATTGGAAGTCCTACTGCGTGATAGTCATGAGCATATTATTGCTAAAGTTTACAAATTGTTATTGAATTTGAATTTGGAGAATGAATATATAAAGCACTGCATGATACAGTGGACAAGGAATTTTGAATATAATGTCATGCTTGAACAATGGGAGAATATGTGGGCGAAAGTTTTAAAATTTACATTAAATTATAACTAAAAATAATTTTTTATAAGCTAATGTGTCATTGGTATTTAACACCAGATAAGTTGTCAAGAATGTGTAAAGGTATTTCAAATGAATGTTGGAAATGTAAAAGTAAAGAAGGGACCTTTTATCACTTATGGTGGACATAAGTCAAAGCAAAGAAATATTGGAGTAGGATTAATATCTTAATACAGAAGATTCTCAAAGTGAATATAAAGATAAAACCAGAAACTTTTCTTTTGGATTTAATGGGAAAAGACCTGGAATTTTTTTGGGGGGGGAACTTTGATGCTATATATGTTGACAGCAGAAAGCAGAAATAAATATGTACAAAAATGGAAGGACACTTTCATTCCCACAATGGATGAATGGCTGCAGAAGTTGATGAGAGTTAGCAGAGATGCTAAACCGACTGCTTTGACTAAAGACAAAAATACAATTACTTTTGTTTCTACTTGGAAGCAGCTTCTGGACTTTGTGCTTGAAGTGGGAAAAAATGAAACTTTGATTTTGGATTTTACCGATTAGTTAGGTTTGTTGTTATAGAAATGGCTAGTTTATACTATTATGTAAAAGTAAAAAGTTGAGGTTTGATGTTATGTTATTCTACTGCACCAAAGGAAGTTGGAAGTCAGCATCTTTTCTTTCTTTCCCCACTTCCCCCCCCCACTTTCCCCTTCCCTTTTCTCTCCCCTATCTTTCCTACTATTTTCTTTTGTATTTTTGTATCTTATAGTATTAACACACACATATAAACTAAATTTATTTGAGAATAAGTACAATTGAACCTATGCAATTCACAGGCCAGAATTGTGTAAGTTCAAATGTACTGATGAATAAGACAGTTTAGAATTTGACAAAGAAGAGATGTCGGGCTGGCAGAGTAACCATATTCTACTGTATCCACATTATCCATATTATATTCCTTGAGTGAGGTCAATATAGAATTTACATATCCATTCAACAACCAGTCCATGTGGCAAGCAAGACCCCTCTAGAATTAAATACGGTAGCTTGGCAAGCAACAGCTCTACAGTATGTCTCCAAACACAAGCCTCCAATACAGAACCTGCCTCCCTATTTTTTGATAAATGCACATGGACATATGAAGAGAAAAGGATTTATAAAAGAGGTGAAAGGCATTTTAGAATATAATTAAATTTTTAAATATTTTATATTTTGGTTCGCATAGTACTAATTCTACAGATTAGATGAAACGATGATTACTTTTGTTCCCTTTTTTGTTTCTAAAGCAGATGCCTAAATAAGGAGTTATGTCTCTTGTATAGCAGTATCAGAGAGAAAAAGCTCTTTTTTAATACAACAATAATATGATTGAAAATTGAGATTACAAAGTTAAAAACCTAATACAAAATAAAAAAATAAAAGAATAAGAAAAAAATGGCAAAGTAGAGGAGAAAACACAATATTTGGACTAAGCTATTTGAGCTGTATGTCACATTTTATGGTTTAGTATAGTCCTCTATCCATGCCCCAACTTTGCAATTTCAAACCCTCCTCTAATCTAGATTGAAAAAAAAGCTGTAATGTTGTTTCCTGCTACTTTGAAGAAACCATACTTTAATCTGCCCAAAAGAGTTAACATTGTTTTGATTTTTTAAAAAATGGTATTCTTTCCCAAATCCACACACATAATACAGTCCTATCCACTCTACAGTACTATCTCACTCAGTTTGCTCATAAAGTTTCCAAAAATATTAAGTTTGGCGACAATCACCAAGAGTCACTTTGGATAGTGAGGTGGGCAGTATATAAATTTAATAAATAAATAAACACCATGCTTAAAGTACCTTATAAATCCAGTCAACTGTGATTTATTCAACACACTATTAATCAAACCATGTCTTGCTATAATATGTAAACTAGGTCTTAAAAGTTCATGGATCATAATACGTTTAGTACATTGTGCTAAAGATGAGCATTTGTGCTATCAATATAATATAGCAGCTTCTGGATTCACGAGATATCTAAGCTTACCAGCAACAATAAAGTTACAACATTGATATCTGGTATTTTTTCTTTCCTT